CCCCGATCGCCATTTTCGCCATCGGGGCTTTTTTGCGCAAAACAGTTTTTAGCTGTCTACACTGGCCCTCTTGTGCAAAAACATTTCCGGAAAAGGGCTTTTGCCCAAACAGGAACATCAAATCATTTGCTCAAGAAACACTGATTTCAGACAGTAGAGCGTCAGTGCTTTTGCGCAACATGAAGTGGCCAGTGTAGACCGCTGGCAAGTTTTTGCGCAAAAGCGGCTGCTTTCGTGGAAAAACTTGCCAGTCTAGACGCAGCCAGGGAGATTTTACAGCCTCGGTGGTGAAGATGCGAGTGTCAGCCGTGTGTTGACACAGCTGCTACACCCTTTGTGGTCTGAGAGTCCAGCTTGTGGTTGGGTTATGTCAGAGCACCCCGAGCTAGGAAGTCTCATTCCATTTGAGTCAGAAAATTGTGCCAGGTGCAAATGTAACCCACACCCTGTCTCATGTAGTGGCACTTACACGCTTTAAGGTGCGTCTACACTGCACCCGTAGCTCGAAATAAGCTGCACAATTTGAACTATGCACTTTGCGTAGCTTATTTCGAGTCAATTTCAAAATAGCTTATTTCAAAATTTAGCTCTGCCTACACAGCACTTATTTTGAAACAAATCGCTCTTCCAAAACGTCCCTTACTCCTCATGGAATGAGGTTTATGAGGACATCGGACTAGTGAGCCTGTTATATTTCGAAATAATGGGGCGTGCTCAATAGACGCAGAATCTCTATTTCGGAAAACCTCCGGTATCCCGAAATAGCGCTGCAGTGTAGACATAGCCCTACAGAGAGACAGAATGAGTTTTCGCTTAGCTCGGAGTCAGCTGGCTTTTAGCTCAAGCTGTAGAGGCTCATGCACTAAGGTCCCAGGTTCGATTCCACCTGTCAGCATTACACGTGGCTTTGATCCTTTGCACATTGGGCTATACAACGGACCCATGCCCATAAACAATGGGGGCCCGGTCTACCAGCTGCATGAAGGAAGAGGGATGAACTAGCTCTGGGGATCTACTTAGACCTTTGACAAAGATCTTTTACACGCTCTGTAATCTTGAGCCTTTTGCTCAGGGCGAGTAGCGTTTCCCAGCATCATTTTCTTACCAAAAACTCTTCATCCTGTCTTGTGGAATCTGATCCTGATCACTGTGGACCACACTGCTTTCTATTCTATTCTACTAGCCAATTAGCCCGTCATAAGATGGGATTTTCAGGTCTCTACTCCATGTAGAGCCTCCGGTCTCTTGCTCTGTCTCTCTCACTCTCTCCTCCTCCTACTGCCTGCCCCCCTCTCCTCTGCCTCCTGCCTCTCTCTCTCTGTCTCTCTCTTTCTCTTCTTCTTCCCCTCCTGCCTCTCACTCAGGGGACTGTGGAGCCCAAACAGCCATTTGGGCTCCACACTCCCCATGCTGCATGACTTCTGCGCTGCTCAGCCAGGCTGCCACGGGGGAGCAAGTGGTGCAAGCAGCCATTGGCCCCCCCACTCCCCATGCTGCATGACTTCTGCGCTGCTCAGCCAGGCTGCCACGGGGGAGCAAGTGGTGCAAGCAGCCATTTGGGCCCCGCACTCCCCATGAAGCACGGGCTGCCCATAGGGAACAGCCAGCGTTTCAGGCAACAGCGCCACCCAGAGGGAACAACCAGCATTTCAGGCAACAGCGCCACCTAGAGGGAACAACCAGCGTTTCAGGCAACAGCGCCACCCAGAGGGAACAACCAGCATTTCAGGCAACAGCGCCACCTAGAGGGAACAACCAGCATTTCAGGCAACAGCGCCACCTAGAGGGAACAACCAGCGTTTCAGGCAACAGCGCCACCCAGAGGGAACAACCAGCATTTCAGGCAACAGCGCCACCTAGAGGGAACAACCAGCATTTCAGGCAACAGCGCCACCTAGAGGGAACAACCAGCATTTCAGGCAACAGCGCCGCCCAGAGGGAACAGCCAGCATTTCAGGCAACAGCGCCGCCCAGAGGGAACAGCCAGCCTTTCAGCGTTACAGACTCTCAGACACTGGGCTACTATATATATGATTCTATTCTATTCTATTCAGTAAAACACTACATCACATTCTTAATTTTCAGCGGTGAATAGAAGTCAATGGGACTAACCCCAAGGAAGAACAAAACAGAAGAAGGGTCATACTGGGTCAGAACAAAGGTCCATCTAGCCCAGTGACCTGTCTGCTGACAGTGGCCAATGCCAGATGCCCCAAAGGGAGGGATCATGTGATCCCTCTTCTGTCACCCACCTCCAGACAAACAGAGGCAAGGGACACCATCCCTACCCATCCTTGCTAATAGCCATTGATGGACCTAACCTCCATGAATCTATCTAGCTCTTTTTTAACCCGGTTAAAGTTCAAGCCTTCACCGCATCCCCTGGCAAGGAGTTCCACAAGTTCACTGAAGTAGAAAGTTAGCAGATGCTGCCTGCGGACTGGAGTGCTCAGCACCATGCAGGGTCGAGCCCTTGTGCAAGAGCTGAACAACTGTGATCAAATACAAAATAAATGTGTACAATGGGAGGGTGGTGAAGCACTGTAATGAGTTAGCTAGGGAGGGGCTGATCGCGGTGCCATGCCGGGCTAAAATCTACTCACCACGGGTGAGTAGATTGCCCTAATTGTCGAGCCCTGCCTATTGGACTAACAGAGACTATTTACATGGGCAAGTCTCAGAGGGGTTGCTGTGTTAGTCTGTATCTGCAAAATCAACTAGAAGTCCTGACGCACCTTAGAGATTAACAGATTTATTAGGGCATAAGCTTTCGTGGGTAAAATCCACTTCATCAGACGGATTGGAGTGGAACTTACAGAGGCATGGGTGTGTGTATACATATATGTGAAAAACAAAAGTATAGGACCAGTGTGAATGAGACTAATCAAGTCAGAGTGGATGTAGTTCATTCATATCAGTTGATTGGGAGAAGTGAATATCCAGAGAGGGGAAATTGCCTTTGTAATGAGTTAACCAGTTTAGATCCTTATTCAGTCCTAATTTGTCTGTATTGAATTTGCAAATGAATTCTAGTTCAGCTGTCTCCCTTTGTAATCGGGTTATGAAATTCTTTTACAGAAGGATGGCTACTTTTAGATCCATTACTGAATATCCAGAGAGGTTAAAATGTTCCCCTCCAGGTTTCTGTGGGTTACCATTTCTGGTGTCTGATTTGTATCCATTTATCCTTTGACCCAGAGACTAACCCAGAGACTGGTTTGGCCAGTATATGTGGCAGAGGGGCATTTTTGGGACTTGATGACCTATATCACATTAGTGGATGTGCAGGTTAGACAAGGTATTTGCATGAGGTCTGACGTTGCTCAGAGCGTGGCAGAGATCAGGCGTCTCAGAGAGAAAAGCTTGCTGTTTAATATGTTTATCTTTGGTTCCCTCTCTGCCTCTGAAGCCGTCTATGAAGAAGGAACGCTGGCTATTAACCCCTGAGCGTAACCGTTCAGCAGTCACGTAAAGGGAGAGCATCGGCATTTCTCCAAAATGTTTCTCCTGCAGTTTGCGGTAACACCTGTGGTTCCCACACCTGAGATTAGAGCAGAAGCCTTTCCCCCGTTTTTCCAGTTTGTTTAACTCTGCATGTGTGACGGCACTTGACACGGTGCCAGTCCCTCCTTTTCCCTAGTAGAACCAGGCAGGTTTCTCAGCGTGGCTTGGCAAAGGACATTCCCGCGAGGTTCTAAACGGCGCCTTACCTTCCTTTTGCAGCTGGCGCGCTGAGGTGCTTCACTTGCAATGATGAACCCTCCCACTGGAATTGCATTGAAATAACGGACTGCGCCGAGAATGAGAAATACTGCCTCACATCCTACACGAGGACAGGGTTTGGTGAGTCCCCGCTGCAGCATGGTCCTCGTCTAAGCCTGGGATCGGTTTATTGATGGGATTGGTTTATTGATGCCAGGCCGTCGGATTCTTTCTTCTCTCTTCAGGAGGAGGGATAGCCCCTCAGCTTAGCACAGGGAGAGAACATAAGAACATAAGAACGGCCATACTGGTTCAGAACAAAGGTCCATCTAGCCCAGTATCCTGTCTGCCGACAGAAGCCAGCACCAGGTGCCCCGGAGAGTGTGGACCGAAGACAATGATCAAGCGATTTGTCTCCTGCCATCCCTCTCCAGCCTCTGACAAACCGACGCCAGGGACACCATTTTATCGCCTGGCTAATATGGACCTAACCTCCATGAAACTATCTAGCTTCTCTTTAAACTCTGTTATAGTTCTAGCCTTCACAGCCTCCTCTGGCAAGGAGTTCCACAGGTTGACTACACTCTGTGTGAAGAAGAACTTTCTTTTATTAGTTTTAAACCTGCTACCCATTAATTTCATTTGGTGTCCTCTAGTTCTTCTATTTAGGGAACTAATAAATAACTTTTCTTTATTGGCCCTCTCCAAACCACTCATGATTTTATAGACCTCTATCATATCCCCCCTCAGTCTCCTCTTTTCTAAACTGCTTTAACCTCTCCTCATACGGGACCTCCTCATATGTCACATTGGGCAACAGTAGGACACTTCAGATGACCTGTGTCCCTTTGCGCCAGGGCTGGATCGTCCCCCCTCACTACAGTAATTACTCGTTTAACACGTGCCCACTTAACACGTTTTCTCAATAACACGATTTTTTTTGTGAACGTTTTTCAAATAACATGACCATACCAGGCAGGTTTCTCAGCGTGGCTTGGCAAAGGACATTCCCGCGAGGTTCTAAACGGCGCCTTACCTTCCTTTTGCAGCTGGCGCGCTGAGGTGCTTCACTTGCAATGATGAACCCTCCCACTGGAATTGCATTGAAATAACGGACTGCGCCGAGAATGAGAAATACTGCCTCACATCCTACACGAGGACAGGGTTTGGTGAGTCCCCGCTGCAGCATGGTCCTCGTCTAAGCCTGGGATCGGTTTATTGATGGGATTGGTTTATTGATGCCAGGCCGTCGGATTCTTTCTTCTCTCTTCAGGAGGAGGGATAGCCCCTCAGCTTAGCACAGGGAGAGAACATAAGAACATAAGAACGGCCATACTGGTTCAGAACAAAGGTCCATCTAGCCCAGTATCCTGTCTGCCGACAGAAGCCAGCACCAGGTGCCCCGGAGAGTGTGGACCGAAGACAATGATCAAGCGATTTGTCTCCTGCCATCCCTCTCCGGCCTCTGACAGACAGAGGCCAAGGACACCATTTTATCCCCTGGCTAATAGCCTTTTATGGACCTAACCTCCATGAAATTATCTAGCTTCTCTTTAAACTCTATTATAGTCCTAGCCTTCACCGCCTCCTCTGGCAAGGAGTTCCACAGGTTGACTACACGCTGTGTGAAGAAGAACTTTCTTTTATTAGTTTTAAACCTGCTACCCATTAATTTCATTTGGTGTCCTCTAGTTCTTCTATTTAGGGAACTAATAAATAACTTTTCTTTATTGGCCCTCTCCAAACCACTCATGATTTTATAGACCTCTATCATATCCCCCCTCAGTCTCCTCTTTTCTAAACTGCTTTAACCTCTCCTCATACGGGACCTCCTCATATGTCACATTGGGCAACAGTAGGACACTTCAGATGACCTGTGTCCCTTTGCGCCAGGGCTGGATCGTCCCCCCTCACTACAGTAATTACTCGTTTAACACGTGCCCACTTAACACGTTTTCTCAATAACACGATTTTTTTTGTGAACGTTTTTCAAATAACATGACCATCTGCAAAATAACACGAAAATAATCAAGTGGCAGACTACTTTGCGCAGCGGTATACGTTGGTGAAAACAGTGGTAATACGCATGCGCGGATGAATCCACGTGGTCACAGCGCTCCTCCGCTCATTCATGTGTTTGTCTTTGTGTTTTAACAACCGCGGCGGCTTGTGCTGCTAGATATCGAATGTTGACACTGACAACCCAGCACCAACAAAAAATTGACTTTGCCACCACCACCTGAAACGCAACCCCCACCTTTTCCGTTATGTTTAATGGGAAAATTGACCCCGCTTAGCACGTTTTTGCTTAGCACGAACATTTTCAGAAATGCATCTATAGTGTTAAATGAGGAATTACTGTAATCGCACGCCGGGGAAGGACCTATCGGGAGCAATACGAGTAACGTGCAAAATCTCATAACCTGATCTTGGTGTTCATAAACATGGGCGGCGGGTAGGCTAGGCAGGGGAAGACACAGCCTGTCCAAACCACCAGCCTGGCCCTGGAACATCTCCTGTAGGCCTACTGAAGGTAGAGTGTTGCTGCCCCCGAGCCCCCACCCCCCACGCTCAGGGGCCAGGGAAGCTGGGGCCGTGTGCCGCCCGCTCTCCCTGTTCTCTGAGGCTAGTGAGACTCAGTCCACACCCCCCTCACCCTCTCCACATTCCAGGGCTGGGGAAGCTTGGTCTGTAGGCCCTCTGCCCTCCTTGTGCTCTCGGCCCAGGAGGCTGGGCCATGCACACCCCCTCTCCCCATGGGGGTGGAGCCTCGGCAGAAGGGGCGGGGCTGGGGGCTTGCCCTACCTTCCCCCACTGCCCATGCTCATAAATATATCTGCATGGTGTTGCGCATGCACAAAAGGATCAGGACCCTACTGTAGTAGCCCTATCGTCCTATTGGCCAGTGCATCCTTAGGCCAGGCCTACACTAGACCCGGCAGCTCGGCTTAAGGTAGACTAAGGAACTGGAGTCGGCTTTAAGCTGCGCTTGGCAGCGTCCCCACAGCAGAAGGCCAACATGTAGCCCTGAATGCCGTGGGCTAGGGGTTATGGCTCACCACTTGCCACAGCGTGAGCGTGACCCCAGAGAGTTCTGTCCCAGAAGGGGCGTTTCGGGGAATGCAGCAGAGGCACTTAGACAGAGGACAATGCCAATTTGTGAATCCCTTTATTAAACCAGTGCCAGGCATCAAGCTGCTAGATGTCAAGGACTCCCCCTAGCGACATTACAGAATTAGTGAACCCAGCCTACCCACAACCCTTCCTGGAGACCTGCTGCTAAGCAGGTCTCCCCCATGCCGGGCCATGGGGGAATTACTGTAATCGCACTCTGGGGAAGGACCTATCTGGAGCAATAGGAGTAACGTGCAAAATCCCATAACCTGATCTTGGTGTTCAAGATCACCAAGCAGGTAGACTGCAAAGCAGCTAAGCTAGACAATAAACTAAACTCATAGAATGGGCAGCCTAGAGAGGGAGAGCTGAAGGAACTTCAAGAGTCTAAGAAAGTTTCGGGAAAAGAACTTTGAAGCCAAAGAAACCAAAAGACCCAACTAACGTCAACAACACGGATATTTATAGAGTCTTGGCATTGCTCGATTCCGACCCAGCCTACTATGACCCTAATTTATTTCCGCACCCTAAGAATATATGGGTACACTTATTCTATGGGCTAGTTGATTATGACACTTCTATGGGCTAGCTGATTATGAAATATTCATTAGCATTATCTGATTCCCACGGCTTCTGATCCTTATGGCAACATATTTGCTTTGTCACTTTTGCGATTCCTGACTGAGTCTGGAGTCAGGCAGACTAACTCCAAATAGACACGTTTCCAGTATGGTTCCTCTACTTAGTTCCCCAAATGAAGGCACATCTGCACTGAACACGCATTATATTTGGGACGGATGCAGCTGCCTGCAATATGCCTTAGCTGCTCTCATGAGATACGGGCCTGTAGGTTTCTTGCATCCCAACTTCATATAATAAAGATCTTTAATCTATATCTAAATGAAATGCAATGAACACAATAATGAATAGAATACGAAGTCAGTATAAATCAATCCAGACACATGTTATCTGATATGGCAGGCAAGCAGCTTAATCTTATAGGCTTCAGGCAGGAACAAACACTCCCATTGGCTTCTCTTACTCCTCACAAAAGCAGGAGTACTGGCTGCTGCAGGGGAAGGGTCACCCTCTGAGTTTGATTTAGAGAGTCTTAACTAGACTTGCTAAATCAAACTCCGGAAGATGGATCGTGGCCATGGCGATCATCCATGTAGTGTAGACAAGGCCGGAGTCTCTCATACTGCTGCAAGTGCTGGGCACCGAGCCAGGTTACTAGCTGGGGTGGGGTGCATGGCTGTGAGCCACATGGATCACAGCTGCATTGCAAGGTGTCTGCCCCTTTCCCCCCCCCCCCCCCCCATTCATTGGGCTCCGTGTGAATCCTGGGAAGGACTCTCCGGGGTCGGGGTCTCTCCTTGGGCTGTTCCAAAGCCGTGGTTAGGAATTGGAAGGGAGGTTCAGCGCTTCATGGACTCCAAGGCCAGATGGGACCATTGCGAACCTCCCGTCTGACCTGCTGCTTCACACAGAGCCCTGCCCCAAGGCGTTCCGAAGGCCGATTTCTATTTTTAGGAACCCCCCTCCCCATCCGATCTCAGCTGGAAAAGTTGCCAGTGGAGACCCCGGCAAATTCTTCCAGCGGTGAACTGCTCCCTGTGCTGCCCAGGGTGAATTTGTCTAGAGTCAGTGTCCAGCCACAGCGAGGTACTGGACCTTTCTCCGCTAGGCTGAAGCGCCCAGGATCAAATATTTGTCCTTGCAGACAAAAGTCACCCCCTTCGCTTGTGCTTTGCCAAGCGAAACAGATTTGAGTGCCTGGAGCCTGCTGCTAGAATGACAAAAAGACTCCACAGGGGTGGGGAACCTCAGGCCCGGGGGCCGGATGTGGCCTCTGACTTGCCTGGATCTGACCCCCAAGCCTCGGGGCTCCCCCTCCCAGGATTGGGGAGCCCACGAGCGTGCTCCAGGCCCCCTGCCACGTCTCTCTGGGGCTGGAGCACACAAAATCTACTCGCCTTGACCCCCAGGCTCTGGTGTGTGACGGGAATGTGGGGAGCGTCTTTCTCCTCAGTTGGGGGCTAACATGTGAGGGGTTGTTTTGTTGGTTTTTTCCCCTTCTCGCTTGGGTAATTTTTCTGGGGGTCAGTGGCCGCCAACCCCCAAAAGATTCCCCACCCCACCCCTGACGTGGAAACCGTGCCTAAACACGCCCCTATAGCTACCTTCAGGAAAGAGACCGGTGCCGTGCCACAGTTGCAGCGCCGGGCGTCTCCAGCCTCTACGGTTGCCAGATGGTTTCAGAAAAAATACACAACAACAACAAAAAACACGCCAAGAAAAAGTTTGTTGAGCAAAAAACAAACTGGCTACTCATCACCTTGCCTCCCTGTGCCAGGCTGGACAGCTCCCCGATAAGCACTATGGTAGCCAGGCTGCCTCTGTATTGAGCCGGACTGCCTGGGATTTTTGCCTCCTGGCCTGGAAAAAATCAGAAAGTACCAGACATTTTAGGTGTCCGGTATTTTCTGAATTTTTTTACTGGACAGGAGGTGAAAATACCAGACTGTCTGGTTCAATACTGGACACCTGGCAACCCTACCGCCACAGGCACAGAGTCAGCGGAGGCGGGAATTGAACCACCCCCCCCAGCCACAGCGAGCGCTAGGCCCGGCACTTCCGAGTCAAATCAACCAATCGGTAAATGCTGAGAAACGCCTTCCCCTTTGGCTCCTCTAAGAGGAGCCGGCAGCCACGCTGGGCCCCAGGCAAGGTGGGGCGGCCCCGGCTCCGTGTGTCAGGGCCTTGGGTAGAAAGGGTGGGGCTGGGGCAGCGAGCGTCACATGCTGGACCCTCCCAGCCCTCCCTTTCCCCTCGGCGGGCCTGGCTCCTGTCACCTCAATGAAAACGGTTGCGTAACTCTGGGGGCTCCTAAAATAACGGTTCTTTGCTCTGTTCCCCGCCCCGCTCAGGGGAGAAAGCCGAGTACCGCATCACCAAGAGATGCTCCGACGTGTGTCCCCGGACAAACCTGAACTTCGGCATAGCGGCCACCGCCATCTCTTGCTGCCAGCGATCCCTGTGCAACGTCAGCGGGGCCGGCAGCGTGAGAGCCAGCGCCACGGCGATGGCCACGGGGATCTTGGTCGGCCTCCTCTATGTCCTCCGAACGGGGCTGTGAGGGGGCCGGGAGAAGGACACGGCGTCCCGGAGAACCCGCTCGAGCGTCCCCTGGCAGACAGCAAGGCCCTCGGGGCTAAGGTTCCCACCTGCGTTCACGCCGCCTGTGTAGAGCTAGGGGTGTGATTCCCACCTCACGTAGGGTGTACTCGGGCTCAAGCGCTCATCGAGACCGCGAGCCGCAGCCGGCCACGGCAGCCATCCCGAGGCCACGGCCGCCGTCTGTGTTGCCGCGGCAACGCTTCTATCAGCATCCTGCTGGACGCGCGCTGGGGTATGTACGTCTGCATGAGCTGGGACTCGTCCCCCCGCTAGACTTCAGATTCCGTCAGCGAGGAGCGCCTCTCCCCGATATCGCACCACGGTCCGGCTGCCGACACGACCACACCTCAGGGCTCGGCGTGAACGGGAGGCTCAGCGGCACGGCGCTGCCTGCTCAGAAGGGCGTCAGCTAGAGTGAAGCACTAAGGTCGGAGCCATCACGCCGACGTCTGCCCCAGACTCTGTGCCATCCCCCTGACGCCTTTCTGCCTCTCCTCGCAGCGCCTGAGCCTTCTCCTCCATGGCTCGCTCACCCCAGCAGCCTCCCTGCGTTCTGAACATTCCTTCACCCCCCAATCCATTGCCCCCCTCTGCCCCTCAAAGAGCAGCTCTGCTGAATGCTTGAGTTGAGTTTATCCCGCTCCTGGGCTGCTTCTACACTGCAGGCTTCTTGCGCAAGAACCATTTTTCGGAAGAGATCTTCCGCAAAAAGTTCTGGCACAAGAGAGCGTCCACGCGGCACGGATGGTCTTGCGCCAAAAGGCGTGTTCCTCGTAGAAAGAGGAAGAACTCTTGCGCAAAAAGCCCTGTCTCCTGACGACCTACTGTACATTTTCTTGCTCGAAAAAACGTGCTTGTCGAGTGGACGCCCTGCGAGTTTTTGCGCAAAAACTCTGCAGTGTAGACATAGCCCCGGGTTTTCCCCTACAGACTCACTGCTGGCGTGTGTTTGTTTCACCCTTTTCAACCCATCCTGTGGGACAGATGCCGGACGGAATAAAATGGCATTTTAGTCCATCGTGTAAGCGTCTGATGTGTCAGCTCTGGGGGAGGTGGAGAAAACGGCTCTGCCAGGTTGGAAAGCAGCAGATGGGAGGGTTGAGTCTGCACGTTGCATAGTTTGTTGGCTCCGTGTTTACTCCAGGTTCCTTTACTCCATGGCGGGGGTCTGCGTGGGGCGTCTCCACAAACATTGGCCTCCGTTTGATCTCATAAGGCTGAGGCAGTACCAGGAGGTGGGCTGCTGCGCCCAGCAAGCCTCCAGGTGCTACGCTCACAAGCGGGAATGGGATGCCACCCGGGAGCTGTCCCCTCGGAAAAATCACATCAAGTTTCTGCACCTCCCTCTCCCCAGGGGAGGACGAGACTCCCCCAACTCAATGGGGGCAGGGAGGTTTAATCCATCTTCAGCTGCAAAGAGATTTCGGACCCTCCAGTGGAAGGGGCGAATAAGCATCCAGGGCTATTAAAGAGGGGGAGAAGGGCCTCTTTGTGCATTTGGAGGCTAAGTCACCGGGAATCCTGAGGGCCGTGAGGATCCTGGGGCCAAGCAGTGAGCCACCGAACTCCGCAGGGAGCCGAAACTAAGCTTCCGTTCCGAGAAAATCAAACCATTCTAGACCTCATGGTTGCTGGGGGAACATCAGCTGAGTGAATGGGAAGCGAGGCAGGAACATCATCCTTATTATCAATGTTTATTGCAGTTCTAGGGGTCACCCAATGAAATAACTAGGCAGAAGGCTTAAAACAAACCAAAGGAAGTTTTTCTTCACGCAGCGCAGTCAACCTGTGGAACTCCTTGCCAGAGGATGTGGTATAGGTTAGGACCTTAACAGGGCTCAAAAAAGAGCTAGAGAGATTCACGGAGGTTAGGTCTAGCAATGGCTATGAGCCAGTGTGGGAGTAGGTCACAATACCTTGGCCAGAGTCTGAACTGTACGCAGTACGTTCTGCGTCAGAAGCGAGTCCCTTAAGCAAGCTGAGCAAGTAACCACATTGCCATTAAGCAAAAAAGAGCACTGCTTGCAATAGGTTAAAAGCACGTTACCATTTAAGGGTACTTCCTCTTTTTCCCTGTAAATTTCCACTGTGCCCTTGTCAAAAGGTATAAATATATCAGACTGTTGAATGTAAAGAGTGGAGGGGACTTGTATCGGTAAGGGTTGAATCCCTGCCGTCTGCGACAACCCTCCCCCCCCCGAGCTGGGTTATGAAAGTGGTTTTGTCTGACTTGAACCCTAAAGCTAGCGTGTGTTTATTCCACGACACCAGGATGGGTAGGAATAGTGTCCCTAGTCTCTGTTTGTCTGGAGATAGGTGACAGGAGAGGGATCACGTGAGGGTGTCCCTGCTATATTGCCCCAGGATACACACTAAAGTCTTTGACGCCTGTAGGAACTGATGTAGTATAAGGCTTCCTATTCCCCGCACTTAAGTGGTGCAACCCCCCTTCCCCTCCCAAAACAACCCAGAACAATTTGCACAAATGGAAGTTGACCACGGGAAAAACATTTCCCGCTTGACGTTATTTTGCTGTATGTCCAAGTTTTTTCCGAACGTATCTTGGCCTTATCGCGAAGACGGCCTGTAGCATCAAACTCCGGTCCACCCTCAGCGGGACCAGCACCCCCCATTTCAAGCCTTCAAACAATCCCCCAGCCTCTCCAAGCTCATCATGAGAAATGAGCTCCTTACAGACCAGAATGCAGCAACTCAAAGCAGCTGCAGACCCTGCCAGAACAACACAGGCAAAACCTGCAGGCATCTTTCTCCTGCTACCATGATCAACCCCCCCCCCACACACACACCTTTCAGCTTCCTGCACGTGCATCTCGTGACAAGTGGTATGTCTCATCCAAGGCACCACATACCCCAGGAACAGTGGCGTGGGTGATATCAGACAATCACTGCATTCCTCGGCACTGAGCCGATCGCCCACACACAAAAATTAGCAAGTGCTCACCTACTATTTACGCTAAACAATCTGTTGCACCTTGTGTGGAGTGGAGAGGGCGAATAAAGAAAAGTTATTTATTATTTCCCATAATAGAAGAACTAGAGGACACCACATGAAGTTAATGGGTAGCAGGTTTTAAAATAATAAAAGAAAGTTCTTCTTCACACAGCGTGTAGTCAATCTGTGGAACTCCTTGCCAGAGGAGGCCGTGAAGGCTAGGATTATAACAGGGTATGTCTACACTACCCCGCTAGTTCGAACTAGGAGGGTAATGTAGACATACCGCACTTGCAAATGAAGCCCGGGATTTGAATTTCCCAGGCTTCGTTTGCATAAGCAGGGAGCCGCCATTTTTAAAACCCCGCTGGTTCGAACCCCGTGCAGCGCGGCTACACGGGGCTCGAACTAGGTAGTTCGGACTAGGTTCCTATTCCGAACTACCGGTACACCTCGGGACAAACGTTTTGCTGGTGTGAACAGCCCATTGTCGACAGGCGCACGGACACCGCTCATTGGGGGGCTGGAGTATTTCGTCGGCAAAAGGGCCGACAAACAGCGGCGACGCTGCCCAGCCTGCGTCGAGCAGACAGCGCCCCAGTCGAGAGCCAGCTCTTACCTGTCATCTCAGGGGGCCTCCTTGTTTTTGGGGCAAGCCTGAAAAACCTGCCTGCCCCCCTCTCTTTGTTGTGGTCATTTTCTGAGAGAGGCTCACAGACTGGGGTCGCCAGGTGTCCGGTTTTGAACCGGACAGTCTGGTCAATGAGGATTCTGTCCTGGAAACAAATTGAGAAAATACTGGACATATAAAACGTCTGGTATTTTCTAATTAGGTTACGTTTTATTGTTATCATGAGTATCAGGACGTAGTTGCGAACTCCCTGGCTGGTAGATACGCTCACACAGTGATTCTGAGAGGAGGGGCTGGCGCCGGGGTGGGAGGGAATCCCCCCGGGCCGGACTAGCTCATGCTTCGCCGGGACTGTGCGCGGGATGGGTAGCGCCCCAGGAGCTGTGTGTGCCCGGGTCAGTCCCACTGCCCGCCGGTCAATTCTCTCCCCCTGCTTCCTTCCCCCAGTTAGC